GAAAGTTTGAGTGGTACCTCGATTTGTTGACCGGGTAAATGAGTACAGGACCATTGCTGGTATCTGCAAGAATATTGCCAAAGACTTCTTGAGCAAACTCGTGAATCCCGCTTCTTGGGATAAGAAGATTTAACCAGGGGTGAGGAACTTCCCATAACCCTTTCTCCCGAAGTTTTATTTCGGAGAGGTGCACTCTTTCCAGGAAATCTACATAAGAGACTTCTGACAGGAAGAGTGTGCACTTAATGTAATTCAGTTCTGATAAGAGGGTGTCAATGTTCTGTATATGAGAAACATAGATGAAAAAATGAGCACCCCAAGTATTGTTATAATGATCAAAGGGAGATAGTTAGATGTCCCACCTGATCAACGAGATCAGAGTTTCCTGGATTAAAGTATTTGGCAACTTCAAGACAGTATAGAATTCTTCCTTCTGAATTAAATTGGCTGGCCTGAAGAGGGTCTTTGGCGTTGAATGAGGATCTCCATTTGTTTAATAATCCTGTTCGATTTATTATGGCGAACCCCTCTATATAATCGAAAGACGTATCTGAAGATATTAGATGCTCCTGGTCCTTGGAAAATATAGAGAAGTCTGAATACAGAACTCTGATCCATTTGACCTGTGAGAGGACATAAATTGTGTTATCATTTGATTTTCTTTGCAGTAATCATGTTTATGAGCTTATGAAAAAAATTACCATTTTGGGTGCAGTTTCTAGAGCAATTCTAGCCCGGGTTATTATCCCGAATTGTCCCAGTCCTCCGAGTACACCATAGAATAGGTCAGTATTCTGCTCTTCTGAACATGTTAATACGTCTCCCTTGCCTGCGGATAAGAAAACTAAGAAGGTTAATCTATTGATTGTTATGTTCTGACGAGCATGTTTGCTATGTATTATTGGATAGGACTCAAAGCCAATCTTCTACTTTAAACATAGTTGAATTACATTCTTCGATGGAAGCACTTCATAAATTCAGTGTAGATGAAAAGTGAACACCGATGAAAATCTTATCCAAAACAAGAAATGTGATTGAACAGACCTTCAGTGTAGAGAAAACAATCTTAAACTATATGATCACCTAGGAATTCTTGTTTTATGTAAATTTGTGGGGATTTTTAACTGATGACCAACCTGTGACAACCTGTAGTTCGTAAACGTTATTGATCTGGGGTCCATGTCGAAAAGCTTGCCCGCTGATTCCCGCATTTGATAAAGTCCCTCCAACAGTGAGATGAAGATAATCTGTCCATGATTTTGGCGCTAGACCACGTTTAAGGCTCTCATGCAAAATATTTATCCAAAGTTCACCAGCAGAAACATCAACGTAGGGCAGTTCTCCAGTGTGAAAACTCATTTCCGGTTCCCGAAGTGATTTCATATTGATAACCACTCCTCGATAGGCCTGTGCCTGGCCTGCCAAGGAGTGGCCACTGCCTCGGGCAGCAACCGTTAGCTCTGAAGTGGTTCCCATCTCGAAAATATATTTTATGGTTGAGGAAATATCAGAAACAGATTTTGGATGTAAAACTGCTGATGGCATGAAATGGTGTATATTCCCGAAATCCTTTGCTGCATGTTCATTCTTTTCAAAGGTTAAGTGGGAGTGCCCCTTAAGGGCCATATCTGCAAATGATGAATGTAAGGTTGGGATAGGAAGGTTCTTTCTTCTGATGGTAAAACTAACTAAGAACACCATTAGAAATCTAAGGAACATGCTAAATTGTTTGTGTAAGCGATGAAATCGCAAGTTCTTCATGCAGTTGAGGCTTGAAACGGGGGAGATTATATAGACTGTTTTTTCTATATTCTTCTCTCGATGCGAAAGTCAAATAAAGGGCTGAAAAATATGGCCTCAGGAAAATGAGTGATGGGGGAAGAGAATTTAAAGGGAAGGATGGTATTATTTGCAATGTCGACAGGAGTTCATAGTGAAAGTGCATTTGATGGGGATTTTTTTTTTTTTTTTTTTTTTTTTTTTTG